AACAATGTCTGTCAAAAGATTTGCTTTGTAAACATTGGCACACACGTCAGCAGCGTACACCCATGGGCAAATAGTAGACGTTAAATTAACCAATCAGAGCGCGCGCTTTGCTTTAGTTATGTTATAAATTGATTTATAACATAGCCTTAGCGAAGCGCGCGTTTTGATTGGCTAATACGCTTGATCCATTTGCCCGTTCGTTGCACGCTGAGGACAGATTGTTTATTTGTACTTGTTCTCGGCAATTTTTTTCATCGATGTGGACACTTTTTAAAACATAATTCCTATTCCTGAAAGTTGCAAAATATAATAGTATTTTTTTAGGAATTAAAGGCTGCGCGCGCACGACGATGACTGCGCATGATTACGCGCGAGTGGAATGACGAAATAGACAAAATTAAAAAATCGTCACAAACGAACAACCAAATTGTCTCGAGGGTCTGAGATGGAAACTGGCATTGTCCCTAGAATTGGTAGGGTTAGTAGCTGGGGGGAGGGGGTTAAGTTAACTTCGTAGTTTTGCGTAGTCGGCTTTTACAGACGCTACTTCAAACGGAAAACGTTATGTGTGGATTGTCTATAAATGGTGTAGTATTGCACCTTTTATATACAGTGCACATATAACGTTTTCCAGATCAGATTCAAAAGAAGTGAAAAAAAAAAATGCAGCAAACAGCGATATATCGTACAGAAGAAGAACCAGCAAGGGCGAAATAGGAAACATCGAGCACTGTATTGTTTTATTACAAGTTTTATTTCAGCTTTCAACTTTCTGTATACTTCCAGTTCAACATCCAACGAGTTGCTACTTAATTCGGTGCAACGTGACTGGCAAACAATAATAATTGTATTTAACAAGTAACGAAGTTATTTCATCAATTTCGCTAAATTGTCCTTTCTACTTCAAAACAGAACAAAATGACGCAAGCAAGTCACGCCATCATGTATTAACTTTGTAACATCATGGGTAGAATATACTTGAGAGTTACAATCTAATAGTCACGCCATCATATATTAACTTTGTAACATCACGGGTAGAATATACCTGAGAGAAACAATCTAACAGTCACGCCATCATGTATTAACTTTGTAACATCATGGGTAGAACATACTTGAGAGAAACAATCTAATAGTCACGCCATCATATATTAACTTTGTAACATCATGGGTAGAATATACTTGAGAGTTACAATCTAATAGTCACGCCATCATATATTAACTTTTTAACATCATGGGTAGAATATACCTAAGAGTTACAATCTAATAGTCACGCCATCATATATTAACTTTGTAACATCATGGGTAGAATATACCTGAGAGATACAATCCAATAGTCACGCCATCATATATTAACTTTGTAACATCATGGGTAGAATATACCTGAGAGTTACAATCTAATAGTCACGCCATCATATATTAACTTTGTAACATCATGGGTAGAATATACCTGAGAGACACAATCCAATAGTCACGCCATCATATATTGACTTTGTAACATCATGGGTAGAATATACCTGAGAGACACAATCCAATAGTCACGCCATCATATATTGACTTTGTAACATCATGGGTAGACCAGACAGCGAATAGGTGTTCAGCCAAGAACAGAACATACCTCTAAAATGCACTCATTTATATTTAGCTTTAAGTTTCACGACGTGATCTGTTTTCTCATAATTAATTCAACGAAAGATCAGCGTGTCATCTCTACTGGCATGTGGTTTAGGGATCCTCGTTGCTTTACCACCTTCAGCTCAGCTCACCAGGGAAAGATATTCTAGGAGTTTGCCATTATGTTCCAAATTCTTTGATGTGCCACGAAAAAGGTTTAGCGCTCGCGGCTCCTCGGGTGTGGCCGCTCCCATCGTGCACTGCATACCATCGAATGCCAAGTATAACATTTTTAATGAGACACTACCCCATTAAATTTCTCTCTAGTGGCCTTATTTGCCATTCCTTATGTCAAGGCATGAGATAGGCAGTTCATGGGTTAGCTGAGTTTGAAGTTTCTTTTTCTTTTTTTCGCGGGGTGTACTAATCGTATGGAGTTGATTCCGTTCAGTGAACCGATCGTTTCTAAATTTTGTTTTCAGTTCCATTGACGTATTGTCTCCGATTTTCTTTGTCTTCGCCATGCTCTTATTTTCGCAAAGTTATTTTTTCATCAAAAAGTCGGTTCTTAGAGGTACTGGGAGATTTTGTTTGGAAATAGAGAATGAAGACTTCTTTCTTCTTCAGCGCCCCAAGAAAATGGTGATTCTTTTTCCTTATTGGATCTTTGGAAATAGAATGGAACCCCGGAGCCTATTATTTTTTATTTCAGGTTTCAGCAATACTTAGTCCCTGGCAGTAGAGTATATTGTATATAAATACGATCGAACGCCTTGCAGATTCTCGAGCACATTAGCAATTCATCTCTAGTCAGGAAGAAGAGGGATCACATAATTCTCTACACAACATGAATTAATACAATATATATTTTTAATTATTCATTCATTTAATTATTTAGCACTATTAGCGTTCAAAATAAGCTGCTCTTAATCTAATAACAAGTTTCATGATTGAACAGGTTACAAACATCAAGTACATGTTAGCCAGCGTAAATGCCAAGCGCTCGCGTAATACGCCAGGAATAGTCGAGTTGAAGCGGCAAGAGAGAGAGAAGCCGCGCGGATCTCTCCACCCGCGCGGGTCTCTCCACCCGCGCGCGCCCTAAGTACATTTAAATTTACCAAACATATTTATATGAGCTAAGACTCGGGTTTGTACCAAACAGAATAGTTTGGTTTGCCAGCTGATATTAGTCCAAAATTCCCTCAATGTACATACAGCAAATCTGGCATTTGAAACTGATACCACTATCTACTGTAGGTTTTAGAAGCTTGAAGGTTCAGAAGCAACCTGTACTAAGAGCGGGACCTGGGTCTACGTTCCTAAAACCTCTGCTCTCCGGGCCTCGTTTTTTCAAGGAGTGTCATATATTGCTTGTCTTTCCAGATTTCCGGTGAAAACCTTCCTGCAAAAAGGAACGAAGTGAAATTACCAATCAAAATCGATCCACAAAGCTCATTATATTCTTAAAAATAGAAAAATGCTAGCGCTGACAAGGGTGATTTTGAAAAAAGAAATGTGCATTTGATACATCATTTGCGCGACAAAAAAAGTCGTTGAACATTCCACAGCGTCTTGTCTATAAACACAGGTTTCATCTCAGTTATTCTGTTGTCCAAGTTATTATGAATTTTTGAATTTTAAAGTTATGAAATAGCGAAGAATACGAGGCAACAACAGCAGGTGTGCGGCTCATTTTAAACAAAATCTACATAAAGTTGAAGTTTGAGTCTGTTCAAAGAAGCCCTGATAAATTACCTAATGCGAGGTCGGGTAAATAACTACAGCGAAAACCGGTAAATATCAGTTTCCGAGTTCAAAATATCCCGGGTAACGAGAAAACAGATTTCAAATTAAATAATATCGAGCTGAAAGGACTCAAATTGAATGATGCAAAATTTTTCAAATAACGGAGACGAACACTCGTCAGTATCAATACAACAATTTTCCACAAACACCTGCTTAAGATGGAATTAAAATGAAACATGTTAGAAACTGTCCTCGGTATCCCGCCAAGTTTGGCATCTACTTCCTAAGTAATAAAGTTTGAACGATATCAAAGCAAACATATCTTCGGCTTGAATGAAAGTCTATCTTTTCAGAGTCTTTTCTTTAGCATTGCACTTTTCTGATCAGCTAGCTATCTTCAGCCTTTTCAAAAACATCGCTATTATTATGTGTCAAGTCGATACCACCTAGGCGTTTTCTCATAATCCTGTAAAAAAAAGCGAACTTTCTCGAAAGCAAATGATTAAAAATAAGCCAAGGATGCATCGCTTTCAATTTAAAGTTTCCTTCCTGTCTTTTGAAGAGTATTATTAGCAAAGAATGAGTGCGTTTAGTACATTAGCCAGCCACGCGGTATTACAAACGACAACGCACTTCCAGTGGAAATTCAACCCGGATCCGAAGACGCTGGCTTCTCCGGAAATTTGTGTCGAATGACCCTTTACATTGGTAAATCATGATCAAGCTTTTAAAAACCTATATCGAACCAACAAGGGCAGTCTTGCTGTCGACAAACCCGCTGCAGGTTATCGAATACTTTTTAAAAATTGAAAGAAATAAAACTGGGGTGTGAATTCAATATTTGTTGTTATGCTTACCAGTGTGCATGAGAGAAGCAGATTTTTGCCCCGCCTGAATTTGAAATTACCACAGAAATTCATTAGCTGTAATTTTATTGATGTTTCAAATTTGAAGTGGGCATAATGTTCCACTGAGTTTAACTAATGATAGCCAGAAAGAAATAGAAAGTGCACCTGCACTCTAGAAAATATCCGTCTTTCTTTTTTTGCCTAACAATCAAACTATCACTACAGTCGCGAATTGGAATATTAAAATATACCAAACGCTAAAATAGCACAACAGCGCAAGCTGTAAGCCGTTTGCTGCAAATTCGATGCCGTTTCTACCTTGGAAATCATTATTTTTAAACCCGTGATAAAGCTGCAAATGTCTTGTTTCCCAATCAAATATGCTGATGGTCTGTCCTCGAGGGAAAAAAAAAACATTAATGTCCCATCAGAAACTTAAAGAAACTCGGAATAGAATTTTTTTTTTTTTTTGCTTCTTCGCTCATGGACGTTTCAAAAGATCTTTACATCTAAACGTGACAATCAGGTTTAAGTCGAGCTACAAAGCTGGAGGTCAGAAACCAACTGGGAAAATATGTTACATTTGCATAGCATATAAATTTACGATTAAATACACAGCTTTTTTGTACATGTGTTAGAGGCTTGGCATTTCGTTTTACAGGTTTTTACATGAAACGAGAGCTAAAAACTGCAACAAACATTTACAAATTAGAAATACTATGTTTAAACCCGTGATAAAGCTGTACATTTCTTGTTTCCCAATCAAATATGCTGATGGTCTGTCCTCGAGGGAAAAAAAACATTAATGTTCCATCAGAAACTTAAAGAAACTCGGAATAGAATTTTTTTTTTTTACTTCTTCGCTCTTGAACGTTTCAAAATATCTTTACATCTAAACGTGAAAATCAGGTTTAAGTCGAGCTACAAAGCTGGAGGTCAGAAACCAACTGGGAATATATTTTACATTTGCGTAGCATGTAAATTTGCGATTAAATACACAGCTTTTTGCGTTTGAGGCTTGGCATTTCGTTTCACAGGCTTTTACATGAAAAGCGAGTTGAAAAGTGCAACAGACATTTACAAATTGGGACTCGCAACGGAAATTTCATTAGTTTAATGAGAAAGTATGGCTTGTCAACGAGAATTAATTGTTTTCCGTTTTCTTGGTGTCAAGCACGCATTCGCCTTTAAAAGCATCTACGATCAACTTCTTTTCTTTTGCGCAGCAGCTGTTTCCAGATGCTTTTTACAGACTTCCAATTTCTTGAAAATGGTAGCTTTGGAGAAACGAAACCGTACTAAAGAAAACATTTACTGTGCACTGACTTTCTCGCTAAATAAATCCACGCCATTTTCGAACATAATCAACTCATTGATTCTTCTAAAGTAAGGAATCCATAGCATATCGATGGGTCATTTCTCGAGTGCACTTACATCCAATACGCATATTTTTACCGATGAAAACAAAGCGGGGGTTTTGGCAAATGCTAGCCCTGGAATTCCTTGTGAACAGAGGAATCGATTAGTAGACGAAATCTGTACACCTTTACATAAAAAGCACTACAAGCTTGGGTAGATTGCCATTAACAAAAGGATCTTTTCCTCTGTTTTCTTGTTTTCACATTTGAATCGAAATTAAAAACCCTATAGTTACTTCAGCCCTGTTCGCACAGGGCGTGGGAGGGGGCAATACTGGCACACCTCTCTCCGGTAGAACTGATACCCGAGGGGTTTCCACTCTTTATCCAAGTTAAGTTATGTCGCGTAGCAAAACGCTCGTCGGCGTAAACCGGGGCGTCAGACACGCCCCAAACAAAGCAGTTCTTGAAAGAGGCAGTACTCATCTTTCCCGACAAAAGTCCGGCCTGAACTTCTATGATGTACCGGTACTAAAAGGCGAGCGTGTACAACGCTTGTGATGTTAATTTGCTGATATTTCGGCGTTCGACTTGAATTTGAAAAAGTCCAGCGCTAATCTGGAAAAAATGGCGTTTTCTCAGGTGCGTTTGAAACAACACCACAAACAAAAGAGAGCGAAACTCGGTTTAGCTAAACAGACTTAACAATTTTAATTTGTTGGGACGTTTCGCCTCTTATTAGGGATTAGAGCTGGGTGATTCTCGACTTATGCGCGATGAACAACAAATCATTAAGATTACTGCTTCAATACAGGAGCCTAGAAGACCATTTTCAGCCTAACGGAAAGGACATCAGCTGTTCCTGCTGCTGTAATTTCTTATTTTTATGTAGCTCGTCTAAATTTCTCATTCTGTATCATAACGCAATTATTTTAAGAGCATCGATATTTTGACGCCATTCTGTAGCGCCCTGAGGCGAGTCCTTTGCTTTGATATCGAAGTGCCGATAACATTAACTTGTAAAGAATCAAATAAATATGGTAATGTACGTATTAAGAACTCGCCGCTCTTTCCAAACCGCTGCGCTCGAGTGAAACGGCTCCGAACGCGCACTAAAACGTAACCGGACTTCGCTTAATTGCACAAAAAAAACCAACATAATCACACTCACGTCGTAAAAGTTAAAACAAAATTACAAACCATCCAAAGCGCTCAGTGTTTGGAAACCGATAACAACATTAACAACATTAATACATATGATCTTATTAGAACTCCACCATTGATTCAAGTGATTCAAAGCCGCCGTAAGGAAAACACAACATTCGTTGAATACACTAAAACCTGAAAATAATAAACTTTTCATGTTTGTTTACCAGACCAGCAAGCATATACCGACGCACACATTGAGTAATAACATCAGGAAATATGCCACTAAACATCCATATACATAAAATACGAAAATTAATTTCCAAGGCCGAAAAATACCCGCCGACATAACAGCTTTTAATATTAGCTACGAAATTTTGGAAAGCGCTTACCGAACATTTACTGGAAATATTAAGGTACAAACGTATGATTCCATAAAAGAAAAAGTTCCTAAAATGGCCGCAATTCGTACTTTAGAGCGAAATGCTTCAGTACTTGAAGATGTCAAAAGGTGCGCATTTCTTGTTGAATTTATTTCCATAAGAAATTGCGTTGCTCAGCTTTCGCGATATTTATTGGATCCGTTTGAAAATTCTTCAAATATTCAAAGAGTTGAAAAGTTGTTCGGACGGATTTCCTCGTCGAGTTGTTTTTTTATTGATTCAACCGCAAGATAAAAGCTTCACAAGAATGCTGAAGTAATTATCGCTTAAGAGGGCGGACGGAAAAAGCTTGTCGTTGACTTGAATGCCGACAGCGAGTATAAAGACCAATCTAGCAAACAGTACTCGAGTTCCTTTGATAACCCATCCAAAGAAATTTGCAAGACAAAGCGAGACGAGACTCTTCTTGCGAAGAGCAAATATACAAAGATGTTTCGCGAATACGCTCAAAGAACGAATGTTGATATTCGTTTATTTTCAACTGTTAAAAGACTGTCGATTTTTTTTGAACATCTGCATATCCGTAGACAACACTGATGAGTCAAAACCTGCAGCTGAACGACAGAAATAGCTAGAAATTTTGACAATTGCATGAATCTTTTATCGAGAAGAAAATGTTAATTGGTGAAATCTTGCAGTGACAAAGGGCGCATACGGTCTCAGTCTTACTGTTCATATTTCAAGTATGGATTCTCTCGTTGTCGATGGTAGATTTTCAAATTTTTCCTCCGAACTAGCGGCAATTCTTGCTATGTATTGTCAAATTACGCTATTAAAAGATATTTGGAACTCAGGGGAAGCGGTTTAAAGGGAAATCTCCTTTGAAAAGAAATGCCATTAAAGACAAGACCTTTTGTTTGCCATGAACAATATTTTCGCGCAACATGGGGAAATAAACACCACGCAATGTAAATTTATCGAAAATATGATTATTTGTACGCATCGGGAACCAAAACGTGTTGTAACGTTAAGTGAGCTTTTCTTTGAAATTTCCTCCAGTAATATAATTACTAACGACTTTATTCCAGGCAAATGGTCGTCTTTTGACAATTTGAATTCAGTTACCTCTGTGAAATTACGTGCATAATGATCACAAGTGACAGGGAGAAGATCATGGGAAAAGTCGCTAAATGGTGCACCTGTTTGTAGATTGAGTTCAAACCATCATTGATCAATTTGCTGATGCAAGTATCCGCGGCATGCTTGAAAGCGCTAAAATCAACCTTGTATTAGCAATTCCTGTATAAACATTCTCCCCCAGTAGCGCCTCCATAGCGTACTACTTTATAGCAAGTACGAGCTGGCGCGAAAAACGTGCGTTCGCGAACAGACTACATTCTACTCTTGAAAAGGGCGAGATACTATGGTTCCCCTCTGCGGGGCATCATTTAGAGAACAAAGACGAGGAAACAAGCAAGTGTCGTAGGCTGAGGCTAAATTGTGCTAGACCATCTTACCAGGCCATTAAAAACGAGCAATTAGAGGCGATTGATAATCTTTCTTTCAAAGAAACTCGTTTATTTGGCCGAAAAGCGATCGATCTCTTGGCAACGCCTTGCGCGCAATTTCATTAATCAACCCAGCAGACGTATGTGTTGTAACAAATGGTTGAACACGGGCCGCCAGCAAACAGCACATTACTCAGCGCTAATTTGAAATGGGAAACATTATGGCAAACACATGATGGGTTACCATGCAAACATTTAATAGCGCAAAATATGGTGGGACGTCAATAGGGGTAGCTTAAAGCGTCCAGGCGAAAAATCAAAACTATTTTTGTGCCAAAGACAAATTACTAAGTCAATACGCAATGCGCTCTGAAAGATTATACAACAGAATAGCGTGGTGTTGTGATGGCTCTGTCGAAGTTTGTATTTGCTTCCGAGCAAATAGCGCCACTGTAACCGAGCAATTGCAGATTACTTCGGAGAATTCGATTCGATGATCGAATGACAATAGAAAAACGCATGTTGAATAATTTACACCGAACAAAGAACAACGCCACTGACAGAAAAACAACTTTTTCCAACTTTTTTATGTCAAGCTATCGGTTTGGGAATAAGTATTGCGCTGGGTCCAATGATCAGTAATAAGAAAGCGATACAAGACAAAAACCGAATTTCATAATCAATTTAAAACCTCGTTAATATTTTTTTAAAGACAGTATCAAGGACATCGAAGTAAAATCATGTAAATGGGTCGTTATCAGTTATCGCAGGAGAAATATTTACATCCTAGCTTTCAAGTCGCCAGGAAATGAATTGTGGAAGAAGAGATCTTTCTCCGCCCTGGAGAAAAATTAATTTAGAGAAGCAGGGTGCGATAACAGAAAAAAAAATTAAACAAAATGGAATAACACTCGTTTCGGAAACTTGCAAGCGGTAAAGCCTTTTAGAAGACGGCCTGAAATAGTTGTGATAAGTAAAACAGACGGAAAACACAAGTTATTTGGGCTGAAAAGCTCGATTAAACGCCACAATAAACAGGAGGCTTTTCAAATGAAGGTTTAATAACAACATTCACCGCATGGCATGGACTTTGAGAACAAAGGTGGGCTGCCGTTCCCCTGGTAACTTGGATAATAACAATGTGAATGGTTTTACTAAGAGCCTTAGAAGCACAACACCACGGCATTTGGAGCGACTAAGGGAAAAAATTAAAAGAGTTTAAAACAATTATCGCGTCCATTGATGCAGAGAGCGCTTCTGGGCGGTGAATTGTGGAAAGACAGCGAGAGAGCAATTTTATGACGAGATTGAAACAAGAGGACATGACTTGCTAATTGTTAGTGGGTTAAATTAAATCCGAAGGGTAGAAAATCTGTCTCTTTTGTCTTCTGTGACAGATTCGCTAGAATAAGACATGATCTTTTGCTCCCTACCTGAGAAAACAAAAAACATTTTTGTTTTTCTTATCTCAATGACAGTTTTTTGGACTTGGCTGTCCGAGTCACTATCGACGGAAATTTTTTTCTCCTTTCTTTGCGCGCTTATTCACAGACCGAAAAAAAGTATTGTCTCAAATCAATATTCATTGGCATGTGTCCGAAATCTTAAAAAAGAAAAAACTGCCTGGCAACCATAATCAGCTGTACCAACACAGGCTCATTTACTCGCGTCACTAGCGAAAAGCGAATTGAAAGAAAGCCACGTCTTTTCAATTTGCAACTGAGCGTGAACTTCGGCGCGTTGCGCTGATGTTGTCTCAAAATTGGCCTGTGTCGGCTCGTTGGGCTTTTAAACTCTGGCAGCGAGAAAGCGCGTTGAGTAAAAGGTGCGGTGCTTAACTCATTTCAACGTATTACGGGACTGAAGGCTAGCGCTGCTGTCATCTAAGTGCTCTATTATGGAAGAATTCCAGCTGACCTAACATAAAAGAACATACATCAGGGCGACAACAGATCGTAGTCAATAAATAAAATGCAAAGAAATTAAGGATTTGCCACTGTAAATGAATAGTGGAACGGACATCAACAGAGGTACTGCCCGTAATCTCTTAAATTGTGCCTCAAAAATCGTAGACACTTCGACGACAGTGAAAAAAGAGTCAATACTTCGCTTGCACCTGCTGTGTCGAATGACCTTCGTTTAAAGCCATCGCTTTTCCGTTCCATCGCTTGGCTCATAGTTTTGTGTTTTCTAGTTTAGAAATTTTCACTCCTAATATTTTGACTAGCTGAAGAGGAAAGCAAAATCGCAGTGATGACCAAATTCACTTCATTCAGCGTCGCGCGAAAGTTTTAAAGCGAATTAACATATCACGGAGTAATATCAACAGTCCCTTCGACAGCATGAATCAAACATTCCTCACCTCAGAGAAAAATAAAATAAGCGAATGCCGAAACGGTCAGATTATCGTTAGCGTTTCGGCATCTTTAATTTCGCTAACCCAAGGAAAAAGACATGATATGAATTGAGACTTAAAAGAATAGTAATGAAGCGTCTTGCTGTGATTAGGCCAGGGAACCAAAACCCGATCGTCTTGTGTATTCTACGCGCTCCTAAACATTACGCACATCAAGTGCGTAGAAAAAAACCGAAATTTTCCAGAAATAAGAAAAGTCTTAAAGCGATATAAACCATCGTTAGACGCTGGGGTGGTTTAAAATGCTCAGAAAAAACGCAATTAAAATGGATCACTACAACGAGAGTTGGAACGCTTTCATTGTTGACACTCGAGACAATGAAGAAAAAAATTCAACCATCGGAATCGTAAACTATGCTTAACTGTCGCTTTACATTTACTCTCGAAAATGCCTATTATTTCGATAAAAATTCTTTGCGTTTTCGGCGACAATCTCGCTTTTTTCGAATTTATAGGCGAATCAAGATCTTCGAGGATGAAAAGGGGAAAAACTATGTAAACGTTAATTGCAAACATTGGAGCGAGATAATGAATATTCGTAATCAAGTAAAATTCCAATATGGTTGAAATCGTCTACAACTTCACCAATGCATTGAAACCGATGAAAAACCGAAATTTCTGTCTCAAATTGTTTCCACAGATAAAATGAATTTTCCCAACAAAATATCATTTCTAACAGAAGCGAAAATGAATTAAAGTTTGGAACACGTGCATACGTAAATTCTATCACACACATAGGGTGCGAAAACAAACCTAGAATTTTCGTTCAAACGTATTTTCGCATTTGGCGAAAAGCGTTTCGTAAGTATCTTTATTGCCGATACGACAAATAACGCTGATCATTTCGAAAAATGTATGGTTTAGGTAAACAAATAAAAAAGGTAGCTTTCCGTGGCGATCGCGCGCAAAATTTTCTAATAACGACTAACTCGGCAGTTGTGTATCGATCACATATTCATTTTAATGGTTGATCCGGCAACGCACATTGTTGAATACTTGTGTAGAAAGCAACAATGACATGGAAACAAGCGCTGGTGGTTTTGACAAGGAATTCCTTCCGAAACAGAAGGGTTGTCCTAACAGCGACAGCGTGAAACAGATCGACAAACAAAGAGTCAGCCACGATTTTTGCTTCGCAGTAAATTAAAGAAAGTTTGCGCGAGGATTCGCTTTTGACAAATGTTTCTATTATACAATGGCGACCACGCCATCTGTTTTCAAACTGCCCGAACTCGCCGAAATAGTAATTCAATATTCGGTCTTCCACACAGATAAAAACCCTAAGGCTGCACGAGTGCTGTAGAATAACAGACGCCAAATTCTCATTCGATCAAAGACTTAAAGGTCGCAAAAACACGATGAGAGCGCGCGAAGTTACGCGGGTGCCATGTTATATCTTTTAATCGCGCGAGCGCGCAAATCTATCTAAGTTGGCAGCCGATCTTGCGATCTTCGTCAGGAAAACACCGCACTAAAGAGGATTAATAAGGGGGAACTAGGATACGCAAGTCGCCGGCAATTTCATTAGATTCCATTCTTTGATTTTATCTTTGACTCAATGAGATTCTTGAGGGGAGTGATTACTGTCCGTCACGACTATATCTAGCAAATTAGACTGCGCGTATTGCGTTTATGAGGAGTTCTCAATGAGTCGCACTGCGGAAATCTGCTTTGAAAACTTAAAATGAACAACAAAGGCCAGTTGAATATTTTCTTCCGTTTACTGAATAGAAGCTTTCCATCAAAGAATCCGCTAAAATTCTACGAAATATTAACATCAGGAAAGTGGGAAATTTTCCTTTTCTGTGACAGCTGTGTGTTTCTCAGAGCAAACACAACTCGCCTACTACCACGACACACAAAACAACTAGCAAATTGGACATAAAAAATTATACAGATTTGAACTACTTATAACTTAAAACTAGATCTTCGCAAATTTACAGTGTGTGAAAGAATTCGCCCAGCTATACGTTCTCATACATAAAAAAATTTGTACAATACGCTTCTAAATTCATAAGGCAAGTTTGTGGCATTGTCTTGCCTCTGTAAATATAATACTATTTTACAATTTTCGTACAAGAAATCTACAGTGTCATAGTTTTTTTTTTTTTTACTCCTTGCTATCGAATAGCGAGTTCAACCTTGTCTAACCGGGACCTGAAGAACGATAACTTGGCGATTTTCGGGAGGGTGGCATTTGTTTATGTGACGCGTAAGACCAGGCGAACTGTAAAATGTGCTAGAGCAGTGTTTACAAGAGTAAATTTCACCTGTATGGATCCTCGCATGTCGATCAAGGCTCCCCTTATTGGCGAATCCATTACCGCAAACGTTACAAATAAATGTCTTGGGCCCCACCGCGTGGTTAAGAACGTGTTTTGCGCGGTTTGTCAGACTCCGGAACACTTTGCCACAGTACTGACACGGATACGGTCGGTCGTCGTTGTGGTTGTTCATATGTTTCCTAAGGTAGGCTTTCCGTCTGAACGTTTTGTTGCAGACTTCGCAGACAAACTGTCCTTGACTGTTACCGACCGGGCTGCTCGATCGCGCCTCGCTCTCCACGGCTGTTGTGACAGCACCATTTTTGCCGTTGTCCTCGGCGCTGGTTTTTGGACTGTTTGGGAGCTGCGGTTCGCGTTGAGCGGGCGTTTGCGTCGGGGTTGCTTTTTTTTCGTGCGGCGAGCGAGGTCGATGCCATCTTCGATGCGATGCCAGGTTTGCCGGGCAGCTGAAAACTTTGTCGCATTCTGGGCATCGATATTCAGTGTGCTGAATTCCGCTACACTTGTGCTGAGCAAGCGAAAATGGATCCGAGTACACCTCCTGGCAGAGCTGGCAGATAAATTGGGACTGCGGCAACGGTCCCTTGGGCTTCGGAAAGTCGTACTTGTCCGAGATGGCAAACTCCTTATGTTCGAGAACTGCGGTTTTGCCACCATGATCTGTGTGTCGTTCGTTAAGGGCTTCGCGTCCGCCAATGTTATCTTTACTCCTGTTGTTTTTGTCGCGGCTCTCGACTAGCGGTGGCGGGTTAGGTTTGAGCTTCTTTGCTGGCGAATTCTCCTTCTCCTTTTCCACTTTAAAAGGCTTGAACGCGCTGCTTGGGAAACTGCCGTTAGCTGTCCCCGTCGATGTGAGCAGCGAACTTAACGAAGTTAACACCGGTGCTTTATCCGAGTTGGCCGTCGATGAATGCATAATGTCCGAAACCGCAGACGCTGTGGAAAGCACAACGCTATCTAGTTCACGATACGCTGGGACCGCATCGTACTCCAAAGTTCTTTTCTCTGATGCACTTGCTTCGACGTATGACCTCTTGTTCTTCTTCACCAGAAATGCTTTAGGCATGATCGCGCTTCTTTTGTCAACTCAGCTACACTACCAGTAGCTGCTTTGAAAATATTTTTTTCTGGGTCAACCAGGAACCGTCGGTTTCCAATAAAAATAATAATAATAAACGCGTTCGTTGAAGTTTTTAAACCGTTATCAAGGCTTTTACACTGACCCGTTTCCGCTCTTTAAAGTTATCCTGTTTGGTGAAGTCCAGCGGCGAAATTTCTCGGCTCAGCTCGAGAGATGTCGACACTATCTGCTGGAAGCTGAAATGTTCTTAAGGTCGGAAACGCAAATGTTTTAATTGTGTCCGCGCCGGCAGCTGCTCGATCATACGGTGGTTGTTAAGAGGTTTAAGAACTGTTCATTGAAATGTCACACGCGCGAACTCCTCCCTTTGTTAAATATGTTTTTTTGTTGATCTATCCTCACACGTGTTGAGTATTGTTTCAATGGCGGGTGTGCGGCCGTATTAACATTTCATTAAAACCGAGGGTGTGTCGCGCTTAGCCTTGCTGCCCTAATTCGAGCAACGGTCTTGGATTTTCTCGAATATCGCCCAGCTTCCCGATAAAAATCTTCCCAGCGAATGCGGATATTGAATTCGGCTATTTGCTCATAAAATCGCTCATATTTTCGCAAAACAACCACAAATAATGCCTTATGCAAATCGTAATGTTTATGCATAAACAACAGTTTCCGGCAGAAACGGTACGCAGGGTCTAATTACGCGGTAATTTAGAACACGTGGCCTTGATTGACATCTGTCCTAAAACGATGGCCTTTCATTGGCCAATAAATGGTTATAACAAACCGTTTCATTGGTTAGATATCAATAGCTTCATGCCATAACATGATTTACATTTTATTATTCTTTGGAACAGCAAGAATTTAGGCTCTTTATGTGATCACGGCAAAAAACAGAAAGTTGAATACCGGAACTAACGATGAAGGGTTGAAAGGGACACTCTCTTCCAGTTTACAAATGAGACAGAAAAACATCGCTTGAAAAATTGCTTTTCGGGGAAGCCATTTTCGTCAAATTACGCTTGAAAGACGCGGTAAAAATTCACTAAAGCTCGCTAAAGACCGCGTTTAAGCGGCGAAAAAAATTCATAGGCCAAGAGCAGATGTTTTAGCGAATCCCTAACACGATTCTGAATAGATTAGGGGAATTTACCAGCGTAAGCTCGGATCATTTAAAATAAAAGATCATTTCAGAATCATTCTCTTCATCCATAAACCGCCCAATATCTCCAAGTTTTTAATTTATTTATTTTAGACTATGCGAACAAGAATGATCTACTCAAAACTAGTAAAATTGCATTACTACGGATACTTTCGCCTTTTTACGGGAAATTAACAAAGGAAGGAAAAGCGCTTTGACGATGCATAGTTTAGGGAGATTTTTTTTTACAACAGGAAAATTGTTTGTGGTATAATCTGCTCTTCGAACTGAGAAAAAAGCACCAGAAAATTCGGAAAAGAGTGTAATACGTGAACTTGGACATTAAAACGAACACGGCAGCTGTGTTGTTCTTTTTGTTTTTAATTTCCTCCCGCTTACAACTGCGTTCGTCATTTTCGACTTTTTCACCGATTGCAAAGTTATTCCTACGCTAGGGAGGTTTCGACAGTGCCGTGAAAGTGTTCTCGCAATGAAAAAAGCTTAACTACCGTTGCCTGGGAGAGTAAATCTATTCTGTATCGGTTGGAATGTTTTGTCATTCGACTCAAACGTGTTCTGCAGGGGTAAAAAAAACTCGGGGTTCCATTTAAACAAAGTAAACATCCTTTGCAAGCATTGTATAACTCCAGGCCATCACAATTAAGCTTATTGACAAAGTGTCTTCGTAGCCTTTTTCAATCTTCAAATCTATCGGCTCGTGCGGATGTCCTTTGCTGCCACAATACAACGGCCTCTCGAGATTGGCCAAAAGATTTCAAAAGCCTTCCTTAGGAATTGTCTTCACATCATTACAGTCGCTTGGACTACGCAACCAAAACAATTTCAGCTTGCTTTTTGCAGTTCCAAAAACAAAGAGAACGCGCTAACTGTTGCAAGCGCTCTGCTCTCGTCAAGGCATGCAGGCAATTCAAACACTTCGCTTTTCAATAGGAAATTGATAAGAAATATTCGCACTAAAACAAAGGTACTCGATCGCAAAGTGAGTTTCTCTTCAAGAGCGCCCTTCCAGCGCGGTTTTCTCAAACTGCTTTCATCTGAAAAGAGCATCGAAGTGTGCACAAGATGGCTTTTAATTTTGTAAAATAAATAATTTAGGAGAACTCACTCGAACGAGAATTAAAGATCGCTGTCCTCGGATAATTACAAAAACACAGCGAATGTCAGGGCAGGTGTAATCTTGAATAAATGAATACAATTTTCGAAAAGAATAATTAGAGAATTTATTGTACATTTCTGAAGACACTTTGACCAGAATTTACATATGTATGGACATCATCTGCGAAGTTGATCGCTTCTCTCACGGTTTAAATCAAACGATAATAGAGCAATTTCAAGGAGAACTGACGCCGAAAAAACGTATCAGTGAGTGAACGGAAAAAAGCGTCGCGCATAATAACGCAAGTTTGATCTTTCGGCCGCGAGCTCTGTCCGCGTTTCAAGACGATAAATGTGCTTTTAGGTCTCAACTGAACAAAGAGCCAAGTGTAAATAGAACAGAGAAGGCAGTGATCGGAAATCTGTTGATGAAAATATGACAAAGTTCAAGAATGCAACAGCCGCCGCAGGGTGTAACCAGAAAAAAGTTATCTTCACCGAGCGACTTGTCAGTTTTCCTCCGGCCAAAGGCCTCCTTTTCCGAACGATTAACTACGCTTTCAAAGCATAAAGCAGAGTTAACAGACAAAATAGAAATAAAGAGAGCTCAGATTCTGGAAACAATTCCACTCAAGATTGAATAATATTAAGAAAAGCTGGCTTCAAGATTGAGACGAAATCGTTGTCGTTTATAATCGAATGATTTATATGTTTGCTCCCTAACTGATTAAAAAAAATTTATTGCCCTTGGAAAAAATGATTATCGAAGGCACTTTGTTGAGCAATTTCGTCTACGAAAATTGTTTTATGCAATGCTATCACGACCATTATTCTTCCAAGGGAAGATTTCAAGAGGTTTCTGTGTCGTATTTGCGTGCCATTCGGGTACAATACAATCCTAAAGAATTCGTCCCACGAGGAATAGGCCACTCGGGTGTCGTGTTAATTGAGTTTTTCTACAAATGCTTGCAAACGAAGCAAGGTTTTGTTATTCTAATCATCAGAGCACACTGGCACACATTCAAAGGGAACTAGGTTCAAACAGCTGTTCGCATTTGCATTTTAACAAATGAAATTCGACACAATTCGACTCAAGAAATTAAAGGGAAAGGAGAAAAATGGCAGGGTATAACTACACACCTTGAGCGCTCCTATAGCAACGAAGGGTTTTATCACGGAAAGCTGTAAAATACGGAAAATGAGAAAACAAAGCTAGAATTTTTCATTGCGACATAGACTTTAAAGTGATGCTTAAGGGAGTAAAAATAGTATTCCTGGAGTTTGATCGTGATATTTTTAATCGCTCAAAATTAGAAAAGAGATAGATATCCGGCCCCAGGTTATCAACAAGGAATCGTTCCATTACGCCTGGCGACATAAAAGCTATTCATTTGAAAGGCTTACGCCGCGAAATTCCCAAAAACATTTTCTTCTTGACGCAAAATATAATTAATTTCAAATATCGAAGTTACGTGTTGCTTTCGATAGCTTAATACAAGCGCCGCCCATTTATCAGGAAACGGAGCGTTCAGGAATTAATCACTGAAGCATCCAAAGAACTTTTTGTTTTTGTTCAAGTGAATTTATTGTAGATTTCGGGCTGGCGACCGCATCATTTTGCCGCCCTTTAAGAAAACAATTATGATAGAATTTTCAAGGGGTGCGTGCGACGACACGCGACCGAGCACGCGACCGAAGCGCCTTGTTATATTACACTTTGCGGTTCAAAACACGATTTACATAGAACAGAAAAAAGTGACCACTAAAGCATTTCTTCGGTCAAACAGCCCAATGGATGGATTTAAACAAGCTTGCCAAATAGCCTGACAGATGCATTTATACACTTACTGTTGTGTAAAAGGTCTAAAAGTGTTCGCGTGCAGAAACGTCCTTACGGCAAGGCACTTAATAGTAGATTAACACAGAGATGTCTCACTTGGAACAAATTTCCCTGTACGTGAACGCCAAATTATATTTACTGATCCAGTGAGCGGTACACATTTGTTACCCGTTGAAATGTTCTTCGAGCGAATGTTGAGTGATTTGTATTCATCAAAACACCACAAATTAATATGCTTTGTGTTCCCTGATTGTCGCGCGCGCAATGTCAATTTTTTTCACTAAACGACATTTTGTGATTAAAGACCGCTTTATATCAATGCTCCACACTCTTAACGAGGCACAGAACAATGTCAAAGAGTTTTACATGTTTCAGCAGACAGCTGTTCTAATTGTGAACGCCTTTTCTTCAGATTTATAAGCATGTGCTTTCGTCTTTTCCTCTCTGAACAACTTCCCCATCTCTGTGCCGCTCATCTTGGCTCAGTTTCCATGTTACTTTCGAGACTTCGACAATTTGAAGTTGTTTTTTTAGTGTAATACTATGTTTACAGCTAAAAATAGGAAGGCAATTTCTACCATCAGCCGCTTAATTGGTCAACGCTTTCTAAATCAGCATTGCGGGTCAGCGCGGTTACTCAGAAAATTCTTGTAACTAAAAGGCTATTGAACACTTAACAATGCGTAAATCTCGCAAAGTTTTCTTTTCGCGTTTTCTCCCTCCATAATTTCCTTTACCAATTGTCATTTCCCATGACTGCATTTTAAATTCCAATCACGACCTTTATTCATTTGGTCTTCATTAGCTAGAACAGCTCTTAGTTAGGTAAATTTCATTTGATTACTCTGTCTTTTAGTAACAACTCAATCAGCTGCAAGTCGGTTTAATTGAAACGCATCTTATTGTGGACACGCTTTATTGTATTCCTTTGAGAAATACTTCGATGGGTCATTAGCATGCTACAATAAAACGAATCAAACGCGTTTGTTATCAACAACGTTTCTCCTTTCAATTTCAGTGTTCTGTCGAGCAGACAGCTGACATCATCAAGTTCTCATAACAAACAGCAAAAGAAAAACATAGCAATCACTAATGAGAATTCATAGTTTGAACTCGTAACTAGAAAAGTTAAATGGGACGTTGATGAAGGGGTACAAGGTTAAATTGAATCAATCCAGAGCCAATACAAACTTTTTTCGCGAGAAATCTAAAGCATTATCTTCTTAAGGCTGCTGTAAAAATGTCAAAACTTCACGCGGAAATTTTGAATAGCAAAACGCGAACCCAAGAGAATTGAAAATCAGGTTTTATGCGATACATGGAAATATTTGATCGCGTATCTTTGGCTATAAAAGAGGCAGTAGCCGAAACGTGCTAAATTTTCATTCTGAGTGAATCAACTCTGGTAAGGTCGATCGAAGAATGCCCGATCGATCGGCCAAGGGAGCGAACCTTGGATGAGACGCAATCATTTTACACCTTCACAAACCAAACAAAGTCAAAAAGTCAAAGCAACAATAACATCGATGTATCTATATTGCTTAACAGTTTACCACGCTTTGTGCTTGTCAAAAGAAACCTTCAACACACGTGCTCCGAGCAAAGACCACGCTCTCTCTTAATACTGTTTAGCCAA